CCCCCACAAAAGGATAAAAATTTGAAATAAATATAACTCTTACAAAATGTGAAATAAGAGTGAAATGGTCTTCAAATTTCGCACAAGATCTGGCATTAAGAACGAATAGAACGAACCACTGCCTCTGGTACCTCCCTCCCAACGGGTCAAATTTTTTAGTTTTCATGAAACTCATTAAACATGAAAAACGCATCCAATTACTTTCAAGCTCAACACATCCTCATATTTTTATACCCTCAGCCATATGGCTACAGAGGGTATATATCATTTGATACGGTCAAAACGTGCCTAGTCGAAATAGAGGTTTTAGACCAAATCCGAATCAGACCATTTGGAGTCGACCTAGCGATGTCCGTCCGAATGTCTGTCTGTCTGGCTGGTGCGCACCATAACTCACGAAGGGAGTATCCGATTTGGTCCAAACTTGATACATCGTAACATTTTTGTCAAACTTAGATCGAGTTTGAAGATGGACAATATCCTCCTCCTGGTACCTCTCCCACAAAAGTTCGAAATTTTCAAAAAAAATATTTTTGCACAGAAAGAGAAACGATAATCTGCTCCAAATTCGCAAATCTTAATATTTGCACCAGTGCTAGGTGGATGGACAATATCGGTCCACTCCTTCTGGTACCTCCCCCACAATGGGTCAAAATTTTGAATAATTATAACTCTTAAAAAATATGATGTAGAAGTCCGATTGTCTTCAAATTTCCCACACCCTACTATTTTTATGATGCCAAGATCTGGAAATAAGACGGAATATATCGGTCCACTCCTTCTGGTTTCTCCACAAAGGCTCAAAATGTTCAATATCCATGAAGCTCATAAAAAGCGAAATCAACGTCCGATTCCATTCTAGTATGGTACATCTTAATATTCCCATCAACACAAGATCTGTTATAAAGATGGTAGAGATCGGACCATTTCCTTTGCTACCTGCTCCACATAGGGTTCAAGATTTTTAAAAACAAAACGCTCAAAGAAAGCGAGATAAGCATCCAACTCTCTTCAATTTTCACACATACAAACATTTGTTTAACACAAGATCTGTTGTGAAGATGCTATATATCTGCTAACCCCTTCTGGTACCTCACCCACAAAGGGACACAATATTCAATACCAGAATGCTAAAATGAGTATGGAATTTATTTATCACAATTTTATAAATTTTGCACATTCCAATGTTTTTTTATACCCTCCACCATAGAATGGAGTTTGTCATTCCGTTTGTAACACCTCGAAATATACACTTTAGACACCACAAAGTATATATATTCTTGATCAGCATAAAATTCTACGTTTAGTGATATCCGCCCTTCTATCCGTCTGTAAAACTGCGGAAATGCCTCTAGCTTCCGAACGAAATAATGTAGGTTGATACAATTTTGCTTAAATGTATATTATGTCTGCAGGACTTTTGGTATTGAAAATGGGTCATGTAGGTCCACGTTTTGTTATAGCCCTCATATAATGGAACCTCCATATTTTCGGTGTTTTGGTGATTTAAGCGACATTATTCAGCGGAAAAGTTTCAAATTTGGTATTTGAAGTTCAAAATGGATATGACAGAAAATTGTCCGTTCAGGAAAAGTTCTAAAATGGCACTAAACTTCTGAAATGGTTATGACGGATTATGTGAACGGATAGAGCTAACAACTTGAAATTTGGTATGGAAATCAAGGTAAGAGATAGTAAGTTTGATGTATGAAGGCTGTTTTGGAAATGTGGACTAAGCGGGCAAATGATACTAAATTTAGAATAGTTTATTTTAGGGTGAACGCATGAAGCTGAAATTTGGGAAATTGGTACTTCAAGGTCACGAAAAATACTAAATAGGGCTAAATATTTGGTGCAATTTGTTATGGGTGAACAGACAGTGCTTCAAATCTGAAATTTGGTATTAGGCTCGCTCTTCATGTGTAGCCTGGACATATGGATGGGGTTTCAGAAATGTGTACTATAATTGTACGAAAATTATTGAATATTACTATATTTGATATGGAAGGTGAAGGATTAGAGATAAAATTCTGAAATTTCATATTGGGATTTCTGTTAGTACCTGTGTTTGCAATATGTCGTATATTGGTACAATTTGGTATTGGGAAAACATATAGTACCTGAAATCTGAAATTCGGTATTACACTCGCTGTTCATATGAAGGTGGTTTCGGAAATGTGTACTATAATTGTACGAAAAATACTAATAGTACTATGTTTGGTGTACCGTGAAGGGATAGAGCTGAAATCATGAAATTTTATATTGCGATAAATGTTGGAGTCTAGGATTGAGATATGGAACGAGTATTAAAAGTATACAAAAATTCCTAATGTTACTAATTTAGGTATTGAGTCAAAGAATACAGCTGAAATTCCGAAATTTGATATTGAGCTATATGCTGGTACCTGGTGATGGTTTTGCAAATGCATACGATAATTTTTCAAAAAGTACTAAATGCTATTAATATTGGATCTCTATTGGTGTGTAGGTTGGAGAGATGTAGATTATTTTGGATGCGCGTACTAAATGTAAAGACGATAAATTGTAAAGATTGGACAAAACGCATATTACCGTTTAATGCCTCAATCAGTCAATAGAAGGCAGACGATATGCCAAAAATGCATTGGACATATTATAGAAATATGTTATTCCAAAACCGCCGAAAAATGGCGAAACCCCTATAAAAGTTTGAGCTAATAAGAAAATTGGAGTCAATGTTGATTTCTTGGATTTAGATGTGTAGGTGGTCAACTTTTACTATGAAAAGGCGTTGAAATAGTTTTGGACAGAAAATTGGGTCCATTATGCAGTGGTTTTACTAATATCTTCTTAGGTAATTTTCAAAAGATTTTGAAGACTTTTGTGTAAAAGGTTAACATTTCCCTAAAAAAGCCTTAAGGAGGACTTTTCGCTAACGAAATAACGGACACTTGCTAGTCAGTTTTAAATGAAGTGTAAATGAAATGCTTCGCTCCACTACATCTGGTATCAAACGCTCATTTCAACGTTTTTCAAAAATTATCACTTATAAAGTGAATGAAGCAGTCGATGCACCATGCATATTTGGCACTTAGTAATATTTATATCGGATATATGTCAGATACAAAATGGACAACATTGGCCCACTCTATTGGGGCAGCAGTGTGCATTACCTTCCAAGAAAACTTCATCAGCTCATAAAAGTTAAATTGTCATCTCTTCTGTATTTCCAATAATGTTAGACTTTAAATTGAAGGAGGTATGCTGCGGTTGAATTTCGTCTCGTAGTAGATGTAGTGGAGGAGCATCAAACCTTCATCAACCAGCCACGTTTATATATAGTCCATATTCATAGTTCCATCCGCATACTTTGAAGGTCTTAGCTGTTCGGATTAATGAATTATTGTTGTATGAAAATTCGACCAATAAAAAGTATTCCCTATCCGTCCACGTTTTGAAGTAATATCGCATAGTATTGAATGATATTAGCCTAGGTGCCTGTAATTTGTTGTTTTGAAATTTAATAGCTAAACACGGTTGTGGAATATAACGCTACGAAAGAACATAACGAGTACATGACAAATTCAAAATTAAGGTGATTATTTTTACAGGATCTAGCAATCCAAAATTTAAAGATTTTGGAGGGTACAGCACTTTGGGAAATTTTGTGAGAATATCCAAATGTTACGAACTCAAAGCATATCCGACTACATTTGCAATTCGATTGATAATTGATCCAGAAATGTACTAGGTATATGTATTGCCAATATACCTAATTGAGAATTTCGCATCTCTCAAATGACCCACCATTTTCCAATATCTCATGTTAGCTGACCTCTGTCTCATCTCACATTTTTCATTGGAAAACAAAAATCACTTCTTTCGCTCATCATGCATCGGAGCACCCAACCAACAACGTGTCCTTCCATATCTCATTTCCATTGTCTCCTCATCTGCTATTACTCGTTTTGACGGCTTTTTGGCCAAACCAAGCAAATTATGTGTGGTTTTTTTAACCATTAAAGCCATACCAGCACAAAGACATGTTCTCGTCGTTGCTTCTAATCTCCGAGTATATAAAGGACAGATAAATGACTCCCACCACGAAACTACAGCCTGTTTAATAATGCAGGTTAGAGGATATTTGCGACTAATTGGGTGATGGTTACTTTACGGGAAAGTCAAAATTCACATGGTTAACCGAAAGCATACCGCAGTGATAGTCTCGATTGTAGATGGAGGCCACACCAGTAAACTGGGATGAGCAGTTAGGATGAATTATGAGCGACAAAAAAAACCACAACAAGAAAATGTGAAAGTCTTTTGGTTTGTGTAATTGTAAGGTGGGAAGTAAGGATGAATTCTGCACACGCTCACATACACGCACACACTCGTACTTATGTTTTAACCAGAAACACCACTACAACCATGATAATCATCTTCATTCTTTGTGGTAAAATTGTCTTCTGTTGCTGAGTGAGCCTAACCAGGGACAAGGCCAATAACCAAGCATACATTTCGTCCTGATAAATTAATAAATAAAACCGTATCTATATTAAAAAATAAAAAACAACAACAACAGTATGGGACAACAAAGCACACACAAAGGAAAGATCTCAATTAAATATTTATGAAAACCGTAAAAGTAAACACAGTGAAACACGGTTACAACGAACAATAGTTGTAGGAAACTTTTGGTTACAAAAAAAAATGACTGATAGACAATATTAACTGTAGATAAAATTCGACTTGAACCTTACAACCGAATTTGTCATAATCCATGTAACCGTGTTCCACTGTTTAACCCAAAGTGTAATTTCAGCATTAAAAAACTTTTTGCCAACAACTGAACAAAACTTTTTTCAATGAATAAACAACTCTGAAAAAAAAACAAATAACACCACGAATAAACCACCACTCTTCCTTCCAGTCCGTTTGACACCAAAAAGCACGCAAAACGGACCAAAAACAACTTTGAAAACATAATTAACCTGCCAAATTATTCTAACATCTACTTAGCCTCACCGTGTTTACCGTAAATTTGTCAAAATATTTTCTCAAATAATGAGTGGTCTTGGTCCAGCTGCATGCTGGCTTGCCCACAAACGTATCGAATCATGGTCGCGCATGGCCAAAGAACGTGTCGGTGCGGTACGTAAAGTTACATTAGATCGTAATTCCGAAGAGGCGCCTTCAACATCACAACAACAGCAACAACAACACCAAGCGAGTAGCAGCAGCAGTAACAGCAATCACTCGACCACAAATGCCAGCAGCAGCAGTTGCATCGGCAGCAATGCCAATGCAACATCGTCGCACACACCACCGCTATCACAGCCAATGACACCGCCGCCATCGGCATCATCGATAACCTCAAATACGAGCGGAATATGCAGCGTAACGGATAGTTATGAACTGCACACGGATTCGGAACAGGTGGGAATTGCAAAAAAAATTGGAAATGTAAAAATTGTAAAACTTTCAAATTAAAAATTTAGTACTTTTGGTATTTACTTTTTATTTCAGATCAGCGCCAAGAAGTATGCTAATTCAATACTACAATACAATTTAATTGTAGATGGTGGTCTTCATAAAAATTCCAAAAAAATCTGTTTTGAGGCATTTAGAAAACCCCTAAGTTCTATAAAAATTCATGTATGAGTCCTTTAAGAACCACAAACAAATTGTTAAAAATCCAGTCTTTTAAAAATCTTTATAGTCCTGACCTATACAGTATTTCAAAAACCTACAAGAAATCCAAGTTTAAAGCATTAAGAAACCCCGAAAAATAATTTAAAAATCCAGAATATGAAACTTTCAAAAATCCTTAAAAATCCACATTATGCCGCATTAAAAGTTCCTACAACAATCAATTAAAAATTCACGCTGTTAGACTTTTTGATCATAAATTCTAAATAATCACTTTTTAAGGACTTTACAGAGCCTTTAATAATATTTTGAACATAATATTTTCAACAGAACATTACAAAAATCCACGTTGTTAAATCTCAAGGCTATATTAACAATTCTTTAACAAAATTGCGTTGTAAGGCCTTTAAGGATATGGTAGACCTTCAATATAACCCTAAAAATTCACGACTTAAATGTTTTGTTTGTTTCAAACATTGTTGCTGGCCCTTCCAAGATTTCTTTAATAAATCAATTTTTTAAAGCAATTAAGAACCTTTTCGAAATATTTAAAAATCCAAGTTATAGGCCTTTCATAGAACTTTAAAAATTTTTTAAAAAATAATTCTCGTTGTAGGGCCATACAATAACTTTTAATTAACTTTTTGTCAGACAGTGTGCTAATAAAAAACACTAATAAAATAGAAATGTTGTAAAAATCCGCTTTGTAAAGCTTTTAACAAGCTTTCAAAAATTTTTGAAAAATCCCATTTTAAAAACTGTTACAAGACTTGATTTCATTTATTTATTTAATTTTTTTATTTATTTTATTTATTTATTTATATATTGTTTTTTCTTTTTTTTAAGTAAATCTTCATCATTTTTTGAAAAAATCAAGTTGCAAAGCTTTAAGGATCTTCCAAAAATCCTTTGATAATCCATATTGTCAGGCATTTAAGGATTTTTCAATATAAAAAAACACTTTGTCATTTCAAAATTCATAGAGACAGCGTTGCAAGGCATGGCAAAAATTATTTTTTAAGCCACGTTGTAGATCTTTTAGGGTGCTTCCGCAAATTTTTTAAGAATCGAACTCGTAAGTCCTTGAAAAATCTCATTAAATATAAAGGGTGAGATGAAAAAAACTGCAACCAACTTCAGACAGCTGCCATTTCTAAACCACTAGTCCGACAGCTGTTAAAATTATTCCAGTGATAGCTCATTATATTGTTTACAAGCGTACAAAGACATTTTGGTGAGAATTTTCCAGAAAAAAAATATTTGTGATGGAATTTAAGCGTGATTTCTTTATATTTTGCTGGAAAACCACAAGTGGCTATCGTTAGAGCACTCCAGCATTTAAATGTGAATAAATCTTTTGTGTCTAGTACCATCGCTCGTTACGGTGATACTGGTAGCGTAGCCCGACGTCAAGAAAGTGGACGGAAGAAAACAGCAACATCAGCAGAAATGGTTCGAAAAGTAAAGAAGCGACTTGATCGAAACCCTCGTCGCAGTGGCCGAAAAGTGGCTCGTGAGCTGAACATATCGCAATATTCCATTCAGCAAATATTAAAAATGAGCTCACGGTAAAGCCATTGACATTCCAAAAAATACAAGAACTGAAAGAACTCAAAAGAGCTAAATGGTTTGTAAACAAACAAAATGATCGTGTTTGCTTGCTAAAGAGGTCAGCTGAAAATTTGCATCTTCGGTTGGCCACCAGAACTCAAGCGCAGGCCATGGTGATGGTGTGGGCCGCCATAACAGCTGATGGTCGCTCCCCGCTCGTATTAATCGACCTCGACATCAGAATAAATACTATCGCGAAAATATTCTGGAGGGTGTATTAAAGCCTTGGGCACGCAAACATTTTTGCCGCAGACCTTGGACATTCCAACAGGACTCAGAACCATTGCACGTGGCACGCGCCACCCAAGAATGGTTATAAAATGAGGTTCCTCCCTTCATTTCCAACGCACAATGGCCACCAAAATCTCGGGATATCAATCCGTTGGACTATTGTGTCTGGAAAGACTATTGGACTATTCTGGAAAGCAAGGTTGACAATAAAAAATGCCAAAGTGTCAATCACCTCAAGCAAACGCTTCGCCGGGAATGGCCTAAGTACCGCAGAGCAACATTCGGGCAGCGTGTGACGGTTTAATTGGCCGTTTGAAGGCCCTAATTCTTGCCAAAGGTGACCAATTCGAATAAGTCTAAACTTATTATAAAATTTGATGCTGTTTCCGACATTTTTTGCTTTCATTCAATAAAATTTAAAAAAAAGTAAAAATTATGGCGTTTGACTTTGTTGCAGTTTTTTATTTCACCCTGTAGGTCGTAATCTCTTCACAAAACTTCCAAAAATTCTTCAAAGAATAAATATTGAAAGAATTATGAAAAGCGTCAAAAATGCTTAATTCGTTTTTCAGAGATGTTTCAAAAAGGACTTAACGGAAAAATAATCTCAAAAAATACTCGTTTTAATTTTTTTGAGAATGTTTCAAAATTATTTTAGTTTTTTAATCAACGTTATAGAGTCTTAAGGAAAATTGTTAAATTTATAAAAATCACATCTAGAAAAATTATTTTGAAAATCTACATTGTAGGCCAAAAGTAACCTCTACGTTGTAAGCACTTGAAAGACATTTCAAAAATTCTTTAAACAAATTGTTGTTGTAAGATCTTTAACGATTCTCCAAAAATTCCTTAAAAATTTAATTTGTAAATTTTTCCCAATTAAGCCCTTAATGGACCTTTAAAAAATTCCATTTTTAAATCTAAGTTGAAAAACATTTAAGAATTTTTAAAATTACCCTTTAAGAAATCCATGCTCTAAGGCGTATAAAGTCCTCTAAAATTCTTATACAAAACTATACTGTCAGACTTTAAAAAAATCAAATAACAAGTCCTTAAAGGATCTTTAAAATCATCTAATGCTTTTATGTTTCCTTAAAAAATTATTTCAAAAATTACTACAAAATCAATAAAAATCCTATTTAAGATCCTTTAAAATTCTTGAAAGATACACACGTGCCTGTGCAGAAGTTTTAAAAATATCGTTAAAGTTCTACATTGCAAAGCCTTTAAGGATCATCACAAAATCCAAGTTCTAAAATTCCACAATGTTATGCCTTCCATATTCTTTCAAAAAATCTTTAAGGAATCGACACTGTAAAACGTTTAAACATTTCTCTAAAATATCCACGTTGTATGGACTTTAAAGGCCTTAAAATAGTCTTTAAAGAAATCCACGCTCTAAGGCACTTAAAAACTTTAAGAACCTTTAAAACCCCATGTTGCAGAGCCTTTGATGATTTTTAAAGAATCTACTTTACAATGCATAAGAGATCTCTAAGAGAGTCATAAAAATTCTCACAATAGGGTCTTAAAAATCTCCAAAGATCCACCATGTCATGGCTTCTGGGTCTTCCGCATATAGTAACGAAAAAATCCGCTCGGTAAGGCTTTTTAGAGTCTATTTTGAAGACCTTAAGGATCTAAAAAAATTAAATAATGAAAAAATCTGTCTCAAAAACTTACAAATTCCACAAGACTTTGCTCTTCAAGAAGTCCTCAAAAATTCCTAGGACATACTGAGAATTCCTTACTTTGACTTTCTGGCCAAAATTTCTTGTTCCGAACTAATTTCAAACTCTCTCTATATATTTTCAGGAAGTAAACTTCACAAAGGAATCGCAACACATACAGCCACAATCAAATTTGGGTTCTTCGCATACGGTCAATGCCGATGTATTGCGTGGTCCATCGGAGGCATTGCACAGTCCATTACATTTGCATCATCAGTCGCGTTCCTTTCCGCCAAGACTGCAACGGACACCCTCGATATCTAGCCAATCCAGTGTAGATAGTGCACCATCAAGGCAATCGGTAGGATATATTTCCCTTCCCATAATTTCTTCACATCTAACATTATTACCATGCATTCTTGCTATTCCCCATAGTGTCATCGTGGTTCCTCGCCACAAATTCGTACCTTTGGTCCAGATGGCCGTAGTTCATTGCCTTCGGAACCGATATTTCCCTATTATGTAAGTTAAGACTTAAAGAATTATATTGTAAATATTTAACCTCCGCTTATGTTTCAGTTATCCCGTACCCCCAGTCCAATGCGCACAATATCTCTGGATGCCCGTGCAGCCAGTCAGATAGCAGCCGAAGTCGGCGATTTACGCACACCAAGTCCTTCACAGAATAGCTTAAACTCCTTGTCTAGCATACCGAATACTTCGATGACTTCACCACATGGCAGCAAACATTCGGGACGTTGTATTTCACCACTTCTCATACCGCCACGAATACAACCCAATTCGGACCCCAATATTGGACCAGCTTCTCCATTGGGCGCCATACAACCTGATCTCTATCGTGGACCAGATGGACCGATATATTTGAATGCCCCAGAGAACAGTCCAGCATTGGGGCGTTTACATTTGAGGGTTAAATACGATTATCATTTATTTGATTTGACCGTGCATTTGATTGAAGGTATAGGTCCCAACATACAATCCACCTAACTTTGAAATTCTAATCTTGTTCCTTTGTAGCTCACAATTTGTGTCCCATTGAAGAGGGTGGTTTTCGGGATCCTTATGTTCGTCTGTTGCTTGAACCTGAAGTCGATAAACGCAAACGTCAAACTGTCATCCATCGCGGCGAATCGAATCCCTATTTTGATCAACATTTCAAATTTCCCGTATCGCGAGACCAGTTGCAGGGCAAGGAGCTAATTTTACAGGTTTTGGATTATGATCGCTATTCGCACAATGACATAATTGGAGAGGTACGCATATGTATCGATAGTTTAGATTTATCAAAATCGGTGGAGGTAAGTACATAAGTGCAAGTTCCTTGATAAGTAAAATTATTAATTGGAAATTTTTGTTGTTGCAGATTTGGGGTGATTTATTACGCACAAAAAAACCACCAGAGGATCGTCCTGAATTACTTTGTTCTTTGAATTATTTACCACAAGCGGAGCGTTTAACTGTTGTCATTATGAAGGCGAAAAATTTGGATACCATTCAGGAGACATATGTGAAGGTAAGGAATGAGGTAGTCCTTTGTTAGAAGCGACCCGAAAAGGAGTCTCCCGTTGGCTAGTTTAAAGCGGGAGATCTTTTTTAGAAGATCTGAAAAGCGAGAGGTTTTTACAGATGAGCTGATCGGCAAGGAGGTCTTTATGGACGGGCTGAAGAAGAATCATTATTGACGAGTTGAACATTCAGTTAGTCGCTATAGACGAGTTAAAGTTCCAGAGTAGTACAAAGGAGCTTAAGGGCCGAAGATTCTTTACAGACTGAAGAGCCGGAAAGCCGTTATAGATGAAGTGAAAAGCCGGAGAGTAGTTACAAGCGAGCTGAAGGGTCAGAGAGTCGCTATAGACAAACTGGAAGGCCAAAGACCCGTTTCAGACGAACAGTGAGAGAGTCGAAACGGAGACACTGAAAGGTCAGCGAGTTGTTATAGCTGAGCTGAAGTGGCGAAGAGTCGATATAGACGAGCTGATAGGCTAGAGAGTCGTTACAGAGGAACTGAATGGTTAGAGTGTAATTACCAGCAAGCTGAACGGTAAGAGATTCATTACTGGCGAGCTGATAGGTCAGAAAGTCGCAACAGAGCAATTGAAGACTAAGAGAGTAGCTACCGACGACCTAAAGGGTCAAACAGTTGTTATAAACGCACCGAAGGGCCGGAGTCGAAGTCGAGCCGAAGAACTGAAAGTCGAAGAGTAGAAAGAGCCGAAAGTGAAGGAGTCATTATAGGGTGGGGGAAGATATGGGCAAGCTGATGGGTGAGAGAGTCATTAGAGAATAGCTAAAAGCGAATGAGGTCTTAATAGACCATCTAAAGGGTGAGCGAGTCGTTGTATACAAGCTTAAGGTCATGAGAGTCGATACAGACGAGATGAAGGGCCGGAGAGCCGTTACAAACGAGCTGAAGGCCAATAGGTACTTACGAACGAGCTGAAGGGCCATAGAGTCGTTACAAACGACCTAAATGGCCGGAGAGTCGTTACAGATAAACAGAGGGCTCAGAGAATCATTAAAGAGAAGGTGATAAGTTAGAGATTTGTTACGGAGCGCTGCACAGAAGAGCTGCAGGACCGTGATATGCAGACATGGTGAAAGTCGTTTCTTTTTCTTTATAGACAAGCTGAACGATGTCTCTCTGTATGGTCAATCTGAACGAAGTCTCTCTCTGTAGACGTGCTTAATTTCGTCTCTCTCCATAGACGTTCTGAATTTCATCTCTCTTTCTCTCTATAGACAAGCTGAAGGTTATCTCTCTCTATAGAAGTGATTAATTTCGTCTCTCTTTCGCTCTATAGAAGAGCTGAAGATCTTCCCAACATAGACGATCTGAAGGTCTCTATCTCTCTCTATAGACGAGGTGAAGGTCGCCTCTCTCCCTATAGACGATATGAAGGTCGTATCTCTCTATAGACGAGGTGAGGGTCGCCTCTCTCCCTATAGACGAGATAAAGGTCGTATCTCTCTATAGACGAGCTGAAGGTCGTCTCTCTCTATAGACGAGCTGAAGGTCGTCTCTCTCTATAGACGAGCTGAAGGTCGTCTCTCTCTATAGACGAGCTGAAGGTCGTCTCTCTCTATAGACGAGCTGAAGGTCGTCTCTCTCTATAGACGAGCTGAAGGTCGTCTCTCTCTATAGACGAGCTGAAGGTCGTCTCTCTCTATAGACGAGCTGAAGGTCGTCTCTCTCTATAGACGAGCTGAAGGTCGTCTCTCTAAGACTGCGGAAGGTCCGTCTCTATAGACGAGCTGAAGGTCGTCTCTCTCTATAGACGAGCTGAAGGTCGTCTCTCTCTATAGACGAGCTGAAGGTCGTCCCTCTCAATAGACGAGCTGAAGGTCGTCCCTCTCAATAGACGAGCTGAAGGTCGTCTCTCTCCCTATAGACAAGCTGAAGGTCGTCTCTCTCTGTATATGACGAGCTGAATTTCGTCTCTCTCTCTGTATATGACGAGCTGAAGGTCGTCTCTCTCCCCATAGACAAGCTGAAGGTCGTCTCTCTCTGTATATGACGAGCTGAATTTCGTCTCTCTCTCTGTATATGATGAGCTGAATTTCGTGTCTCTCTCTATATAGACGAGCTGAAGGTAGTCGCTTTCTCTTGCTATAGACGACCTGAAGGTCGTCTCTTTCTCTTTCTATAGACGAGTGAAGGTCTTCTCTTTCTACAAACGAGCTGAAGGTCGTCTCTTTCTATAGACAAGCTGAAGGTCGTCTCTTTCTATAGACGAGCTGTAGGTCGTCTCTTTCTATTAACGAGCTAAAGGTCGTCTCCTTCTCTCTCTATCTCTATTTGACAGTCGTCTATTTCTCTCTCTATAGCGTTGTCTGTGTAGTCGCGCCATCCGAAGATTACTTTTGTAGAGTAGCTACAAGGGAATCTCTGCACCCTATAAAAACCCCAAGAGCGAGTTTTTAAATCTGTATTTCTCTTCTACATTTCCAGTTATATTTGATTCAAAATGGAAAGCGGGTAAAAAAACGTAAGACCAGTATTAGCAAAACCGATGACCCCACCCATCCGACATGGAATGAACCTTTCACCTTTAATTTACAGTCGTCATATTTACACAATGCGGCCATTGAGGTAAGTTGTTAAGGATATGTAAATATAGCAATAAACTTTGACCTTTACAATCAAAAGCCGGATGTTGAAAAGCTGTCAATTTCAAAAGTTAAAGAGTTACAAGAAAACACAGTTAAACCAGTTTATGACGAATACTTTGATGTTCTTATTTTTATATAATAATCGGGAATCATAAAAAAATTATTTCCGTTTTGAGATCGACTTATCTGTTCACAAAAACATTATTCGTCATAACCATGTTTGTCTGTGATTTGACCTTTTCTATTATATATATTTTCAATATTTTATTTATATAACTTGAGCATTTTCTCTCTTCTCTTCCACACTTCCTTCCGCCTTTACACAGATTTATTTAGTTACAGCTGGTGGTGAGTCCCAGGAAATCGGCAGCATTGGTTTGGGACCACAAGAAAGTGGTACAGGGTGTCAACACTGGCATGATATGATTAATAATGCCCGAAAACCAACAGCTATGTGGCATTATATACGTTAAGGCTGATAGCCAAACAGACACATACACAGACAAATCCTATTACAACAAATAAATTGCACAAATAAAATATGCCATAGAAACGCAAACAGAAAAGAACAGCAACAAAATAACAACAAATATAACAAGTAATTTATATAGAATTAAATATATTTCCAAGGGATAACAAAACATATAGAATATATACACATATGTATGTATAGTACGATATATAAATATGACGATGCCAGCTGAAATGGAAAGGAACTCAAGTTTCATTTCGAGAAAAAGTCTTAGCATGTCCGAAGAAATATTCTGTTTTTTCTTTTTTTCTGCTATCCATTGAAAAGCACTCAGAGGAGTTTTATCTATAGAAGACCTATCAGAGGCCTTAGCGCTTTCATTTCACATCTCTGTAAAAGGCGAACACAGATCTTCTACACAAAAAAGATGCCTCTGAAAGTTTTTCCTTGATTTAAGATCTGCAAAAAAATTTCTTTGCATAGGATTCTTGTCAGAAGTTTTCTTAGAGAAAATCTGAGATCTTCTATCCATAGAATACGTGCCAGTGGCATTTGATGAAGTCTTCTCAAAGGTCTTGAATCCATAAAAAAGGTGCTTATTTTCTGCCAGAGGTTATCTATCCATAGAATACCTGCCAGTGGCATTTGACGAAGTCTTCTCAAAGGTCTTGAATCCATAAAAAATTAGAGGTCTTTATTTTCAAAGGTCTTAGAAGACTTCACTGACGGTCACTGATAGGTCATCTATGGATAGATAACCTCTGGTAGAACTTCTATTCATAGAGAACTTCTATTCATAAAACACCTGTCAGAGATCTTTTAACCAGGTCTTCTATCCAGAGGAAACCACCCAGAGAAGTTGTATCCATAAAATATCCATCAGAGTTCTTAAGCGCTCCATCACAGATCTTCTACACAAAAAAAAGTTGCCTCTGAGGGTCTTTTCTTCACCGAAGACCTTTAAAAGATTTCCTTTACATAGATTTCTTGTCAGAAATTTTCTTGACGGAAGTCCTGTCCGAGATCTTCTGTCCATACAAGTCCCATTCATTCTATTCATACAATTCCTGCCAGTAACCTTTGATGAAGTCTTTTCAGAGGTCTTAAATACATAAAAAATCAGAGGTCTTTTATCCTCAAAAGTCTTAGAAGACTTCATTGAAGGCCACTGACAGGTCTTCTATGGATAGACATCCTCTAGCAGTTCTGTATATAAAAGACCTAGGGTAGGTCTTGTCTGAATAGAAGATCTCGTGTAGGAATTTCTTTAAGATTACTTTTGACAAGATTTATATTCCTGGAAAATTTCTCAGAGGTCTTCTATCCATCGAACACTTTCCAGGAATATTTAACCGTAACCAACAAGTCTAGGAAGTCTTCGATGTATATGATTATTCGAAAAGAAAGTTATCCACTTTTGCATTTTAGCTGGCACCTTCAACTTAGTTTATAATCTAAAATAATAACTATTTACAAAGAGTCATATAACAACAGAAACTATTAAATAAAATCAAATTTAGTATACAAGAACAACAACAACAACTAAACAACAAAAATACCTTAAAATCAAAGAACAACAACAAAACAATGAAAACAGTTGTCGCACAAGGCAACTATGAAAATTGAAATCAAAATAGACAACAATTGAAACGAAAACTGATTTTGTTGTTATTTTATAACGAAAACAAAGACGAGAAAAAGCAACAACAAAAAAGAATGAACAAAAATGTTAACAATAAATGAAATTTACTTTAAAAATCCAAAAAAACCGAAAACAACAAAACAAATACATATTTTTGTCTTTGACAGTTAGAAGATCATAGAAAAATTACAACAGTCCACTTTAACAAAAAAAAAAAAACTAAATAGAAAAATTAATTTTAAATTTTAATTACAATTAAATATAACAAACACACACACCAGCACATAAACAACTTTGACAGCAATCTAAATTAGGCCTGAGACAATTCAAGAATTTCCGCCTAAAACTAGGCAACAATTTCACTTCTTATATTAAACGATCAATGAAAAGAATAAAATATGAACTTTTCCATGTGAAATGGGAAAGTAAAATTATTTTCAGAAGCCAAAATGCCAGACATAGAACTACCATAGTTTGAAAAACTCATAGAGTTAATCGATCTTAAAGACATATCTCCGCCATACATAGGAAAACGTAGTATTGTTTTGTATGTAAAAGTCTTCTAATTTTCTATGGGAAACTTCCGCTTGCTATTTTATCAGAAGACTTAAAAAGTAGTGGTCTTTGAATCGTACAACTTGGAAAAAGCAGTCAACACTCTAGCAGAAGCATCATCCTCACCTTCTTCTTTGTCATCACTTCCTGTTTTATCATTAGTCCACTCAATGACTTTGCGAACTCACTTGACACATTGTCCTCGCATTTCGGAGGGAACACTTAAGAATTATCTGTGGTTAGTTATACATACCCAGAACTACACATTACGAACTGCACCACTCTTGACTCAAATACACCACCAAATGAGGGGCCAAGGGTCTTGCCCGTGCTTTCGAGAGAGCAAGATATTGGCCATGGTAAACCTTTTTGTTTTTTTTTATAAACGCAGGCATTCTCACGCGTCAGGAAACTTCTCCTAGAACAGAACCAGACAAAATCAGGCAGATGAATTAGCATAATTCTTTGCACACGCAATCAGAACCAAAATTGGGAGAACATAAAAGTACTAAAATCTGCCTAGACCTGATCTACAAAGGAGAAGGACCAACGCTACACAAGAGATGCAATAAAAAAATCCCCATCCATTACAGAAGAGGTACTACGAGTTCCACGACAAACCAGAAGGGTTTGGCACAAGTGAAATCAGAATTTTAAAGCTGTCTCAATAAATGTAAAATCCGACCGGAATCGCCCCTCCATAGCTGCCAAGCCAAACTTATAGCCCCCATATAACCATACCTGCTGATTTTCGGTATTTTAAAGGTATCTGCCACAATCCCCAACCAAATCTGCTGAAACTTGACATTTGGTGTTCTTGGTATGTCTATTCTCTCGATTCGATTCAGGCCCACTAATTGATATAACCTCCATATAACGATACCTCACGATTTTCGGTATTTTGAAGGTTTCTATCACAATTTCCAATAAAATCTGCTGAAACTTGACATTAGAGGTTCTTTGGGGTTCTTCTAATTGCGAAAAATGTTCGATTACAGTCTACGAATTGGTATAGCCCCCATAAACGGTACCACCCATTTTATTGTAGTTTGTAAACTTTTATTATATTCTCCAACCGGTAGTTGCAGTTTAATGTGGAAGAAATGTTTTTTATACCCTACACCACATAGTGGTAAGGATATTATGTCTTGGTGCCTTTTTTGTGACATTGTAAAGGAAGCGAGATATTCCCATAGTTCCTTTTGAGGATTTTCATAGGATCACTTTCTGAGTCGATTTATGCATGTCAGTCCGTCTGCTCATGTATTTTTGTAAACAAAATTTCAGATTTTTTTTTTTTTTTTTTTTTTTGGCAGATTACCTTTAGAGTTCTGCTATCCATTGAGGAGTGAGTTTTATCTATAGAAGACCTATCAGAAGTATCAGTAATGGGCCAACACAGATCTTCTATACAAAAAAGATGCCTCTGGGACTTTTTCCTTGATTTAGACCTGCAAAAGATTTTCTTTGCATAGGATTCTTGTCAGAAGTTTTCTTAGAGGAAATCTGAGATCTTCTATCCATACAAGTCCCATACGAGGTCTTCTATCCATAGAATACTCTCAAAGGTCTTAAATCCATAAAAATCAGCGGTCTTTTCTTTTCAGAGGTTTAAGAAAACTTCATTGAAGCGAGATATTCCCATAGTTTCTTTTGAGGATCGAGATATTCCCATAGTTTCATAGGATCACTTTCTGAGTCGATGAATGCATGTCAGTCAGTCCAAATGAATGAATGAATTTTGGCAAATCCACCGAAATCAGGCTAGAAGCATGTACACGTACGGTTCAGATATAGCTAAAGCTCCCATACATAAGTTTCATCCGATTTCATCACTCATATGCGTAATATGCACTCCACAACAATAACCTTTGGTACCAGATATAAGATGCAGCTTAAGAATAAATGCTTAAAAATTTGTCAAAATCGGTTCAGATTTGAATATAGCTCCCATATATCTTCATATGATTTCAGGTTTTTTGTGCACCAAATAGCTAATATCAGCCCAAAGGGCCTGAATATTGGCACTCCCGACTGAATTCAGTCTGAAAGCAAGTGCTTCAAATTTTTGGTGAAAATCGATTCAGATATAGCTATAGCTCCATATATATGTTTCATTCGATTTGGTGTAAAAGTCCCTCACATGCGTGATATGCACTCCACAAACAATGATATTCCATACCGATCATCAGATACTGCTCGAAAATACCTCTACCAATTTTTTTCGAAATCGGTTCAGATTTTCATATACCTATACATCTTCATCCTATTTTTGCTCACCATAAATGTAATATCAGCCCAAATTGAATAGATTTTTTCATATTTAACCGAATTTTACCACTTGTTGAAGCTCGTTCCGGTATATATATAGCTCCGATAAATATTATTAATATAAATAACATACATAATCTTTATCGAAGTCACATTATGCACTATACAGCAATGTAATTTGGTATTAGAGGTACAAAAGCCTCCGTCAAATTAGTTGAAAATCGATTCAGAGTTAGATATAGTTTCCGAATTGTTACTACTCTAAAGCCATGATACGCATTCAAATAAGGTTCATAGTTGGTAGGATCTACTTGACATAAACTTTTTGGTTACGTGAGCTCTACTAAATACATATAGTGGGGTAGGGTATCATATAGTTTAACCATTCCTTATTGGTTTTACTTGATTCGATAGTTACTCTCAAACTCGTCGCGTACTTGCATATGTATGGTTTGCCGACCCCTGTTCTAGAGCTTGGAATAAACGGCAGAGTCAGATTATTCAAATGAGCACAACATTACAATCTACTACAACAACTCACATTTCGTCATGACCCAGCAGTCCGCTGGCCATTACAATTTAATACCCATCCAAATGTACGCTATTTTGTCAATAGAAAAAAAATGAAATAACAGTAGTTTATAGCATACAACTAGCATCCGATTTAGATGAGTCGTATTGCTATTACATTGTGGAACAAAATCCATATTAGAATTAAAGAACAAACAAAATATAATAAAATGTGTCCATCGCACTTGCATCTGAATCGGTTGTCGATAGATTTCGAACCCATCCAGCCTTCCCTTACAATGTCGATAGATTTCGGACCCATCCAACATTCGCTTACATTGTCGGTAGATTTCGGACTCGTCTGAAGGCCTAGGCCATCGCTGTGTAAATGTAAGTAGAAATTGTATACAGGCTTTGGATGAGTCGCACCTACATTGTCAGTGGTCTCAGATGGAAGATGAATGTGCAAAAAATTCCGCTGGGGAACTTATAAATTTGTTGAGTTGGCTATCATAGTTGTAAAGGGGAAGGTAACCGTATGAAAATTTGAAATCGAGTCTATTTGAGTGGGCTCAAAGCTATGTGGGAATAGCTCCTCTCGAGGTTCCTCGTGAACTTTAGGTTAAACCAACTGGAGCTCCTTATGTGTCATTGTGAGTAATTTTGTCCATGATCTTCCCTTCATTTCGGGTACGGTAGTAATAGACCGTAGGTTAACCCGATTGAATACTCAACGGCCATGAGTTGTGGCTTCCCAAAGTCCAGTAAATGAGAGCAAGTAAATGGAGCAATTTTTTTCAGTTGAGTTACTGAGATTTTGCAAATTCTTACTAAAAAATTTACTCACTAAGAATTATTAAGTAATATCAGCTGATTGAAAGTAAAGTTATCATACATACCTAATATGAGAGGTTATCATTGATTGTGGGGGCAATGTGAAGATCTCTGGCTTGGGCTATTGGCTTTGGGTGGCATTATGACAAGTACTTACTTCCTATGACATATTTTTGTCGAAGTAGTGGTTATCAAAGTATGGGGTTCCAATACATCCATTATTTGGTAATAAGATTTTTTCTCTAGTATGGAATTTTCTATTAACTCGTAAACATGTACTGGTAGCCAACACCCTAACATCTAAATATATTTTTTCTATAAATTAGAATAAAGTCTTTTCAAACTCCACCTCAATTACATGCCTTTATAGGCAATACTACACACCATATAATTTCCATCAAATTGTTCTTGTTCTCTTTGAGAAAACAATAACAAAAACACTTGACATTTCCAAACCAAACGAAATCATAAAAGAATAATGTCATATATTTTTTGAAGATTGATGACGACGTCATTTCACTTTCGTTTAACGTCTCAATTGAAGCACTTTTTGCATAACTATTGTATGGATATTTTGCTTCCAAGGCATTTTCAAAAGCTCCGCATACAACGCCGTCATGTCACACAGGATCTTAAGTAGTAGCTGCTTTGTATGCAGATCAATGCTAAGAGGAACGACTTGTCATCGTCAATCATAAATTTCACTTACCGAAAAAGGACAATGAATGAAGAAATCATAAAATCAGGGGAAAAGCCCCTCTCCTCTTTGAATAGCTCTTGTGAGGAGTTTTGTTTTTTTTGTTTTTGCACGTTGACAAATTTGCTTTGATGCTGTTTTATTGTCGTTGCTAATGCGATTATTGGTCTCGGAGGACACACCCTTCTCTACGCGTTGTTAAGTCTCTCCTTAAGAGGAGGTTGACATTTCATCGTCTTAAGTAATTGAGCATCATAGTTGGATATTTGTGTTAATAGGGAACTGACTTTTTCAACCAGACTTTTCGGCAGATTTACATTAAATTTCTCCCACAATAATCACGAAAAAGATAAGTGGTTCCCACAATCTTCATCACCAGAATAAAAGGGGTTTTCGTGAAGTAGTGAAGATGTGAAGTAAAATTATATGAAAATAATATTTTATGTTAGTTTCTTTCATTAAATGTGCTTTATTGTAACCACCTTTCTGCGATATAACTCTATTGACTGGGCCAAAAGTTATAAAACCTTGAAATGTTCCTATTCACATTTTTTCCAATAAAAAAAAGAAAACAAGTAAGAAAAGGCTATAGTCGTGCGGGGCCGACTATCTTATACCCTACAACACTACAATGTGTTAGAAGCCCCCTTATGTCCAAATCATTATTGTCCATATGCACTCCGTCTGGCTGTTAGTTGCTGTAGTTCATTTTACAGCTAAATATAATCCAATGGTCATCCAAAATGCTAGAATTCTTCCCTGTCCTTAACTCTTTTCACAGGAGTGTCGATTGGGTTCAATTGTGTGATCGGAAAAACATTTATGTTTTTGTTTGATTTGAACCCCTAAATATTTTGCAATCTTCTCCAAAAGCAAGAAGCCCCTCCGTACCTCTAAATTTAGACTCATCTATATGATTTGCTTGTCTACGATATTTGGCTTTATTTGTC